TTCTACATGGATGTCATGGAGACATGCAGTATGGGTGCTATGTCCTATCTTAGTATTATGGACAATAAGATAAGTATACACAGATAAGTGACACTAAACTCAGGAGTTAAATATTTAAAATGCATGTGCCTTAACTATTAACATAAATGTACCCTTTTCATGCATCACTCACCTGTAGTCCCTCAAATCATATTTGAATGGTTGCTGGCACTGTCCTTCCTTCTGGAGGGTCGCTACTCCATGGTCCCTGGGTGTGTTGTAAAGTAGCCCCCCCTCCAAGCTTGCTCCCGTGATGGACTACAATCTCAGGTTTACTTTACTAATTTGTTTTGAGATTGTAGTTCATCACAGGAGTGAGTTTGGAGTGGTGGCTTCTTTACTACACACAAGGACCACATACATAAATAAGCTACACACAGCTAAATTTTTGTTAATAGTTAAGGTACTTGAATGCATTTTTAAGATTTAACTCCTGAATTTAGAATCACTTTAAGATGATGAAAGTTGACACCTGATTGTTTGCTAAGGGCAACATTTAAAAATTTTTCTTTGTTGTATATTTTAATCAGTTACCCACGTAGGGTTGATTTACTGAACCGTGATCACTTAGCAAAAAACATGTTAAGATTGAACAGTAAATAATATTCACTGATCTTGCTACATAAGCTTAAACTGCTCATTTTAATTAACCAATCATGTGCTCCCAAAAAAAAACAGTTTTGAATGGGTATTCAAAGTGAAAACAGGTTTATCTTTAATAACATTAACTTTGCAAAGTGAACATACACTTTGCACAATAAATAGCCTCTACTCCTTTTAAAAATCGTTTCCAGTATATTTGTAATCTCACCCATATAGCAGGAGAGAATTGGACATAGTTTCATAATGTTCCACAAGTGAGGTAAGGCAGGACTACACTGGCAATCTCTGCAATGCAGAGTTTAACCAGCTGTTAACAGTCATTTTAATAGGACATTTTATGAATGTACGTATGCTGCAAAAGAGGTTAGTGCTGGCAAGTAGTTAAATCTCTCAGTTGCAAAGAGATTATAGATATCCATGTAACACCAGCAGGACTTTAATGGCACAGAGTTGTTTTAGCAGGGTAAATTAGATGACAGAAAACCTATCCTTAAATAAGCAAAATAGATCTCCCTCAGCTGAAGGAGTAGAATATATAGTGAGTTTTGTGATAATCTATTATAACTTAACAATATACATCACATCAGTTTTAAAGTAAGATTTTTTTACTAAGACTGTTAGTTAAACATTACATGGGGCTCCATGTTTTTATAAACCATACAAGCATATATCATCACATTAACCTATCTGTATTATTCTTATATGTGACAATAGACAGGAGGGGGAGGTATTTATCAATACTGGAGCAGACAAAATCCAGAGCAGATTTGCACTGCAACCAATCAGCTTCTCTGTCTCATTTTTAAATCTTACATGAGCAAACTGAAGATAGATGCTGATTGGTTGCCATGGGCAACTGCTCCAGATTTTGTCTGCTTCAGTTTTGATAAATTCCCCAAGTATGTTTGTATGGCTTCTGGGGCCACATGTGATGTTTAATAGGCTTAGGTAAAGTAACCATTTCAATAAAAAATGCTATGTAGCCCACCAATATGTGTTTAAGTTCATATGTGTGGGGTCTGGGAGACTTTTAAAGTTTTTTGTGTATTTTATTAACATTTTTAATTTTTTTTGTTTTCACCTAACTTTAGTGCTATCACAAGGGGATGACAAGCCCCCCCCCCTACCATGGCCATGCAGGGCACCCAGAACACAGGGGTGAGCCTGGCATACATGGTGGGGAGGCCATGTGGGGGCGCCATTGTTCCCATGCATGTGGAAGTGATCAAGAGCCTTTATATCCGTCCATATCACTTCCACTAAGTCAGCTTTCACAATGTAAACAAACTCCCTGCTACAGTTTGTGTGCAAGCCTGCACTGTACATCTGTGGCAGCAAAAGGGTTTACAATTAGATCTCCTACGTCCCTCTGTGATTCTGAAAGTGAGATCTGCTCTTGATCCTGTTCCTCTACAAAACCTCTATAGGGGGTCTACTCTCTCCATTAGATATTGAACATGTTGGTTTTTTTTAATAATGGAGAATGCAGAAAAGCCCTCAAGAGATATAAAAATCAATCAAGTAACTCAGTTTCATATTTTTGGATGGCCTGTCCATTTACAAGCCTTTCCACTAAGGATCCACAATCTCCCTGCCTTTATTACACAGAAACAAAGATACGCATAGACAACAGTAAAATAAAAACAAATATGATCTTCTTTGTGTTAGTTTTGTGGCTGAAAAAAACATGTAACAAATAAATTGACACGACAATGCATCCTGATCTAATAAATTCATGACCATATAATAAATTATTATAATTGTGGCAGTAAAGCTACACTTCCAGTGTAGCTATACTGCCCAAATACCATAGAAAGTATTATATTGCTCCCATATAGCATAGGTTCATTTTCCATTATCCCATTTACTTTACCCAACCATTCCCCCACCAATGGGACTCTATTAATTTCCCATAGGCTGGGTATAAGGGATTTTCTTGCATTAAAAAAGAAAAGTACCATTGATTTGTTATAAGACTTAAAAAAGACCGGTGTTTCAAGAGCATTGCCAATGGGTTGTTGGGAATAGTAAGTTGCAAGGATTGGTTCATAAGATCCTGTACCATTGACTAGAAGGGCTTAAGGATGGAGTGTCCATTTAATTGAAAAATGTTTATCAAAAACTGTTGAATTTCAGTAATATATCTGTTGATTTTAGCAATATTTCAAAGTGAAATAGATCAGTTGATGTTTAAATGATATTATTGGCTCTAAAGTAAATGATGTTAACTAGTTGCTAGTACAAAAACTTTGAATTGTAAACAATTTTCAGCAAGCTAAATAATGCATGATTATTGTCACAACTATGACAGCAGAAATATATTTGAAAATGCCAGTAGGGATATGTTCCCAAGTGCTTACTTTTGGTTCATGCCGTGTGCAAGGGTTTGCCTATGATATATTTATAGCAGGAAGTAGCCGTTGGTGTTTTTTTTATATTATGGTGGTCTAATAATTTTTCTCTCTATTTCTTTTTCAGTGACAGACAGTGAAAAAAAAAAGATTTAATGTCAAAACACTTGCAATACCTATACAAATTTCTATAAATAATTAAATTCTCAATTTTTAGAACAAACATTTCAATCTTCAGTGCAACAGGATAGCCTGTGATGTTAACCTTGTGGTTGGATGGAATATTAATGTTTACATATTGTTTGATTTAACAGGAAAAAAAATAAATTCTCTTAGATAGCATGTACAGTATTTGCCCTAGGCAAAAATCCAAGTCTAATCCTCAGTTCTAGTCTAAGATGGAGTCTTTCAGAGACATACTTTGAAAGAGCTAAGTGATATATTACACTTTCATTGTCCCCAGGAATGTTTACTTTTTTTTAAATACATCATCTTGACAGTTAGAAAGTATATTTACAGAGTGTTGCCAGTGTTTCCTTGTGGACTATGTTCTGACGCAATGCATGCATCTTGATAAAAAAAGCTGCTGACAATCCACCTTTGTTTCTTCCACCTGCTTTGCGGTCTTTTTTAATGCATGGTCCTGTTTTATTTACTCTTGCAGCTACTGAGCATATTTGTTGTTAATGTTTTGTGCATGCCAAATGTTTCACACATCTTTATCATGCTACTGTTTCATCATATGTGGACCTGAAGTGTTTCAGCTGTTCAGAATATTTTCACATACTAATGCGTGTTTTGCTAACTTAGTATACCAGATAACAGACACTAATGTACTGATATGCTTCCGAATAAATGGTTTGCAGTTTTTTTCTATTCAGAATATTATGTTATTGGATGTATTTGTATATTGCTCACCTATTTTGGTAATCACAATGATTGATTTTAAAATGACTAATTTTCAAACAGGTTTGATCTACAGAACAAGTAGATTTTTAAACAGTATAGTAGTACTGAGTTGCTCATACTATCTGCATTTGTTTCCATTGGCCCATATCAGTGATGGTCATATTTTATCTAAAACAAAATCTGATATTGTAGTAGACCCATGTTGTAAGCACCAGTATAGATGCAATAGGTTTGATTTACTAAAGGGAAAAGGCCGTTCACTTCACAAGGGAATGTGCACTTTGCAAACAAATTTTTCTTTATCTTTGTGAATGAGGTGAAACTCTGCTGACATCAATTGTTCAATCATGTGCAAACAACAGTGTTTTTTTTCTGTACTTGTAATTTGAGTATTCTTTGCAAAGCGAATTTCATCACATTCACATACAAGCTAAGGGAAATTTCCCCTACAAAGTGCAATTTCCCTTGCAAAGTGAACAGCCTATTTTCCTTTACTAAATTAACTGCACTCCCACTCTGTCTGCAATGCTAGTGTAGTAAACATAATTACTTCTCAATGACACATCATGGCTTAATGTTAATTTGGGGTCTTCTTATTTTTCAAGCAGAAAAGCCATTATTGATATTGTTGTGTTTTTTTATGTTTTACTTTATTGCATTTTAAAAGAATTTACTGTGACCCCTCTGGGAAAAAGATTTCTTTTGACAGCCACCACAGAAAATATAGATAGATAGATAGATAGATAGATAGATAGATAGATAGATAGATAGATAGATAGATAGATAGATAGAGAGATAGATACTGAAAACAGACCAAGAAAGCTAAAACAAATTTGCAAAATATTTTTCTTTTGTGTGCACTGGAGCACTTTTTACAATGGAAATTTTAAAGAACTGATAAGGACTGGTAAGCTATCTAAGATAGGCATTACTTACATATGTAATATTTTAGTGTCTCACGGATTTAAAAGCATACTGCATATGCTTTTTTTTTCTCCTTTTTGCAAAATGTTGGGGATGTGTAATATTTTGCTGTTCTTTTTTTGGTATACTATTTTCTTGAACTGTTTTGCTCCATGTTTTCATTCTCAATCCTAGGTCCCCTTACAAAGAAACAGACAGATGATTTAGGTGATAATGAAGGTGCTGAAGATGAAGGTATTTTTTTGCCACCAAACCAATTTGCATGACAAGGACCCCTACAAATATACCTCCTTTACTTTTTCTTGACTTCTTGTATCTATTTTGAAGACTTTTTCTTTTTATCCCATTTTTGATTGATGTGTTTTGTCTTCTTGCTTGTTTTATTTTTATTTTTTACATTTTTTCTTGATTTGAATGTTGTTACGTTTTCATTTTTATGCAAACAGTAAGTGTGTCCACCAAAGCTCTTCTTGTTTTCTTGACAAGAATTTTTGATAACTTTCATCCCACTTCTTGAATATATTTTATTAAATCTTTCAACTAACACTGATTTAAGACTCTCAACATACCCCTTTTTTGCATGTTTTCTAACATTCCCTAAATAATAAATCTTGCTAATGACAATACACAGTGACTTATATAATTTTAAGCAGCAGGCAATTACTTTTATGTATTTAATTATCCTAAGGTTTGATGTTTCTTAAGATGTACGTATTTGTTTTATAATTTATTATTGATTTATCAACACATTAGATCAAGAAGCATCGTATGCATACTTTTACCATTTAAAAGTAAGTGTTATAATACAATTTAAAACTAAATCTAGCATCACGGCTGACCAAAATACTTAAACATATTAAATGTTTTATCCAGAATGCATTGTCATTGAAATTTTTAACATGAAGTTATAATGTATAGTTGCAGCATATTGGAAATACGTTTTCTGTAGATTCTCCAATTTGCTAAGAAAAAAGAAAGTCATATTTCAGCTTTCATCATTATAGAATATTTAGAACAGTAATAAGTAATGTCTGATTTTTGTTTGCTGCACTTTACACATTTACATTATTAAGTTGAAGGCAGCCCTTTGTGCATTCTTGCAAGTCTGTACAGTAATCCAGTATAAAACAACTCAGGCACTTTGCCTCTGTGCAGGCGTTTCCTGTAATAAAGCCTGGCTACTGCTGCCCTCTCTTCTTATGCAGGGTGACTGTTGTTGTATCCGCCTCCCGTCTAGTTTTCTGTAGGCATTCTGTAGTAGGTGGACCTGTTGGTTCCTTCCCACAGCTCTGCCCTATACATAGGCTATATATTATTTACTATTTCAAAGCAATATCTGGGTTTGCAAAAGCAATTTCGTGTACACACAGTGGCTTTATGACCTTTCTTAATGAAAATACATTCTATATAAAGATGTTTGCTTCCAGGGTCAAGCTTTCAAGATTTTTTTGTCCATATGCTCCACTGTTTTATGCCAGTACTTTAATAAACTGTTTTCAGTTGATAAAAAAGTCAGCCAATTTCAACATGTAGCTGGGGTCATATGGGCAGACTTTAGTTCAGCTGATGTTAGACTGTGATCACTTCTGCACTATTCAGTCAGTAAATAATAAAATGTAACTGTGTGACACAGCTGGGAAATTATGGACCTGAATTCAGAGCCTGAAATTTGTCCTCCAAGCAAATAACTAATTTTGCTATCATATATTTTAGTAGCAAAACTAAAAACTTTTAATTTTATCTTGGAAAATTAACCTAAATTTAGGCTAACACCTTCAGAGTGGTGTTAATATAAATAAAATAGAAATCATGGTAAACCTGTACATCAGCAATTTTGTTATTAAGTGGGACCTGCAATCAGTCTAAAAGGCTTGTCTAGTAGATCCAATTTGCATGAATAAAATAATTCCGCCCTGATCTAATATTCAGTATGAAAAAAGACCTATATAATTAGGTGGAGAAATGTTATTTAATCAGGGAATTAGAAGAACAAGGGTTAGGTAATTTTCTGTCTTTATTTGTCCTATTCCATGTTGGCCTTGAAAGGGTAATTTCATAATTTCACATGTACTATATGCTGAGATAGGAGATGATTATTAACAATCCCTTTAATATAATAGGCACATAGTAAGAGTAGCAATTTCCAGCCTTTAAATTCATGTCACTATGGGGTTAATTTTTAAAAGGCAAAATTATGTTTGGAAGATAATTTTCCATTAGCTTTGTGAATGTGGTGAAGGTCTGCTGATTTCCATCATCCAATCATGTGCAAGCAGTTTTTTATTTTCCTTCCACATGTTTTGGTATTCTTTACAAAGTGAAATTACGCCACATTTACTAAGTTAAGGGAACATTCCTTTGCAAAGTAAACAGCTTATTTGCCTGTAGTAGATCAACCCCTATGTTTTTATCCCATGTTTTTTTACTTTCTTATGGAAATCTAGGCAAAGATAAGTACCACAGGACTCCATATTTATTTAATTGTTTGAGTGTTCTTCTTGTATTTGCTTACATTTCTAGCTTTACCTAATTAACACAAGTCTTGGAAGAATTTTCCTGTTTAAGTGCACAGTAACTAATACAAATAAATACAAAAATAATACGGAGTGTTCTAGGCTTTCTGAGCATTGATGATAACCAGACTGATTAATGTTACCATTGGTGATAAGCCTGTTGTTTGTTTGCTCCACTTAATACTGCTGTGCAGAGCACAAGAAAAAGGCCCCTTTGAGAGTACAGAAATAGATTAGACCCCATATTACAAGTGGCCTTCATAAACTGGGGAATGTTTAACTGATAACTATCAGCAAACAATCAATTATATTGGATCTAATTGACACAGAAAAGGAAGCACAATGGTTTTCTTGCATGTCTTCAATGACAGCTTAAAGAGTGTACCTATAAGAATGTAATTACATGGTCATTTCCACTGATTTCCACTTCATCAAGGTAAAAGAACTGCAGAAATTACCCTAGATATGAAATAAACAACAGTTTTTGCAAGTTCTCTAAGAGTGTTAACTGGTTTAACCGTAGTACTAACATTTCATTACTGTTCTCAGTGGGTACTCAGTAATTCTATGTAATTTTAATTAAGGAAGAGTTCTGAAACAATCTCCCTCTGTGTTACCTCCAAGCATACAATTAGCAGTGTACAATTCTGCTGTGAACATGCAGCTAATGATTTCAGATTAATAATTTATCTCTCAGTCCTAATCATATCAATGTCACTATCAGGAAGACCAAATTTCAACAGGTGATGCTTGGCAATTTGTGGGATTTAACTTTGCTATCGCAAAAATAAAAGCAGGTATAATAACATTATTTTGCACAGGTGCTTCAATTTATGGTGGGTGTATCACAATGACTCAAAACCATTTTTCTATATTTATTTTATAAACTCGAAAATTTACCATTTCATTTGCAAATTTATAATGAAAACAGAATTTCAGTAAATAGCAGCTGCAGCTTCACCATCTGTAGGTCAGAAGAACAGTCTCCTTTATTAAGAAAAAAACAATATTAATGCAAAATACTTGAAAATAATAGTTTTAGATTTGACAAATAACAAATTTTTTTAACTACTAAGTTCCAACGATTGAATTTGTCCTTCACTGATTAGGTTTGTATAAAAAATTTCCAAATTTTATTTAAAGTAAATGTTAGAATAAAGATTTATATAATTATGTTATTTAATTGTTGGATTCATTTTCAAATTTCCTCTGTCATGAGGAGAAATGTAAGATCCAGAACATCCTATTTTTAACAACTGTTTAAAACGCACAATTTTCAGTATGTTCAATATGTCATGCATTACAATGCTTCTTGAGCTATATGTACAGTTTCAGACAGTTTCTCTGAAAAATAAAGATAAACAATTGAAAAATAAAAATTACATTAATTTGCATTTTTTTAATATTACCAATATAAAGTAAAAACAGAATGCATATAAAAAATAATACATACGAATAAAGCAAAAGTGGGGAACCAAATTAATATTTGCTACATTTGAATATTCTATTAAAAATAATATTTGTCATATTTGTAACTTAAGAAACATTAGAAATATGGTAAACTAATGTTCCCTCTTTATCTGATGAAATGCCAGAATTATATTTAAACATGCTTTTTTTTCAGACATCAGAGATAGCGGAGGTCCCAAGCCTGTGATGGTATATATTCATGGAGGATCCTATATGGAAGGAACTGGTAATTTATTTGATGGAAGTGTCCTAGCAAGTTATGGAAATGTTATAGTCATCACTGTCAACTATCGCCTTGGGGTACTTGGTAAGAAGGACATATTTGCTTTGACCTTTGATACACGACATTCTTTGCTGTTTTGGTGTATTTTATTAAATCTATTGAGATCAAACTGAGAACTCTGGATTTCTCCTCAATGGCCAATATTTAGTGTCAGCATTAAAACTAAAATGATACTCCTACTTCATCATTTTTGTTTCATAAAATGCAAAGCACACAGTTAATTTTTATAAAAGGTAATACTTAGATTCACAAATTTTAATTTTATACTGGATATGATGCACATATTATATGAGTCAAAATTCATTTTCAGATGTCATGGTTTATGAGCCATTAAGATGTGGTCTATCTATCTATCTATCTATCTATCTATCTATCTATCTATCTATCTATATATCTCTGTCTATGCATCTTTTTATTCCTTACTAATTTTTGGTCCTTTATGAATATAGTTTTGTTTTTTCCATTATTCTATTAATAAATTGTTGAGATGTAATATTTTCTTATTCATAATAGGGTTTGTCAATAGAGTTGTTGAAGTTGCTTATTATTCTGGGCTACTTTTCTGGGATAATATCTGGTACTTATGCAGATATATTTTTTTCATTTTAATGTAATTTTTTTTGGAAGACTGTTGTATCTATAAAAATAATGGCTTGCCTTCCCATTATTCTTTAATGCTTAATATACTTCGGCTTGTTGTTTAAGACAGTGCAAAAAGTTTATGTTGCATAAACTGTGTTAAACAATAGAAAATGCACAGCATTTGGTTCACCAAGATCAGTAAAATACTAGTTGTCTATGTTTTACTGGACATTATACTCTGCTTTTTGTGTTTGGATTGGTTTATATATTTAGAAGGTTTGTAGCACTGGAGAGTTTTTGAAATCTTGATGTTATGCTCTCAGCTGAATAATTATTTATTGCAACCAGCAAATGCATTCTTGATATATGTTGATTGTGGAAATTGTCTTCAAACTGTATTTTGACATCTGTTGTGCATATTATTTTTGGAGTTTTGGATTTCATAGTTTTGCTTTTATAAAATATTATGATATTTATCACCTGGGAAAAATTATTATATTTAGATATAAATTCAGCATAGGATACAGCAAGACCTTAATCAAAAAGGTAGACCTTCATCTACATGACAGATGAAGTCCTATTTTATAAATTCAAGATTTTGCACTTGGGTGCCAAAATACTAATTTGAGGGGCTTCTTTGGAAGAATTGTTGATGCAAAATGACTTGAGGGTGCTTGCAGATCACAGCAGTAGTTGCAATGCCAGGCTGCAGCTAAAATAAGCTAAAAGATAAATTAATAATTCTACCCCTTTACAAAAAAACACTAGTTTAGCCTCATCCAGACTATGCAGTTCAGTTTTGTTCACCAAACCTCAGGAAGGATATCACTGGATTAGAAAGAATTCAAGTAAGGGCAACACAATTAGTAAGGGGACTGGAGGACCTCAGCTATGAGAAACAATTACGAAGATTGCACTTACTGTCTCTGGAGAAGAGGCACTTAAGAAGGAATAAATTCACCATACATAAATATATCAAAGGTGATTATAGAAAATGAAAAAAAAACTGGTTCCTCTAAGGTCTCTAAAAAAGAAGACACATGGCCATGATTTGTGGATAGATGATATTAGATTTAACCTTAGATTTCGGAAGGAGTTCTTTACTGTTAGAGTTGTGGATCTCCCTTCCCCATATGGCAGTGTTAGCCAAGAGTGTTTTTTAAATTCAACAAGCTTTAGATGTCCATAGCAAGCATAATACAGGGCTATGGGAATTCATACTCACACACATATGCACACATACCTGCACACACACACACACCTGGATGGACCTGTGCCTGTTTGTCAACCTTGGCAAAAATGTTATCATAGTTTAGGCATACTTTTATACAATAGATTTTTGTTTATCATCAGATATTTAGGTTCCATGCTACTGTTTATCCACATTGCTGTAACCTTTCTCATCTGTATAGTCTAGTTTTCTTTATAATATCTGCTCCAAGGCTATCATAGGCATATATGGTTGTCAAAGGCAAGCTATACCCCAAAATTTTTTTGTCTGGTATAACTGCTGGCAATTGTAACACAAAGTTGCTGTTTTAGTCTGTTGTGGACTCTAGAGATGATCTATGCTACATAATTTGCCAGCTCTGCCTAATTAGTTTAGCTTTTATGGATTTCCCAAACTGTTGGATAGACAAATTACAATCTCACAACAGGAGTTGATGATGTAATGGATTGAAGTTGGATTTTACCCATAAATGCCAACATAAAACATTCATTTGGTGTGGAATGAAAAATGGCCTGGATGGGAAGGGGTTTAACACCGCGGATGTCAACTGGTTAAAGAAAACTTTTTTTAGCACTTCTTTTAAATTGTATATCTTACATTTTGTTATCATTGTTATTGTTCCCTTTAATCATAGAATTTTGTTTTTTTTCTGACATCGGAGTCCCAGGTAAGTCCCAGGTAACCAGGGACGCTGTTCTATCATTAGGGTGAGAGCTTAGCAGAGCCGACTTTCATATCACCACCGGTTCTGACAAGCTCTCATTGTAATGACAGCTGGTCCCGGCCAATAGAAAACCGTTGGCTTTAGCTAGCTGTCACTGCTAGTTCCGCCTAATCGTTTTCAATTTTTTTCTACTTTTTTAACTGTTTTAACATTCTTTGGCCCTTTAGTAAATCACACCTCAAAGAATAGGCTGAAGGGTGAATTGGGCTATTGCTTTGCATGTTTTGCAATAGTAAAATAGCAGTAAAATAATGTTTTTTAAGAACACCTTACATTATATTAGTATAAGCTCAGCTAGGTAAGGTAAGTAAGTTAAATATCTAAAAACGTGTTCTGCCTTATGTTTCCAGAATGCAGCCCCTGTCACCACTTACTGTATGTTACTATTTGCACCTCTGCAAAACTGACAGCCAGATTTCATGGTGCATTGAAAATGTTGTCATTTTATTTTGCAATGTCAGCAGTCTCCCTCCCTTCCATTTAAGCTGCAGTGGCATCTGTATGAATTTCATGAGATGCCTGAGACTATGAGAGAGAGCGATGAATTAGGAAATTAGCATTTATTAAGGACTACTTAAAGGGTCAAAAGGTAAAAAAACAGAAACTACTGATATATAATATTAAATATGTCATGTCTGCAGGTTTGAAATACAGTTGTGAAGTAATTGAAGGGAATTTATCAAAACTGGAGCAGACAAAATCTGGAGCAGCAGTGCATGGCAAGCAATCCGTTTCTCTCTTTCATTTTCAAATCTTAACTGAGCAAACTGAAGAGAGAGGCTGATTGGTTGCCAAGCACAGCTGCTCCAGATTTTGTCTGCTCCTGTTTTGATATATTCCCCTCATTGTGTTTATATTTTTTTGTTATGGTTGATTTGAAATGCGTTCTTGCATTTTATAGTTTATCCTTAAAATGCCTTTCTTCGACATACTTATAGATTTAAATGATAATGTGGTACTGTATACAGCACTATTAAGCCTTACAACAGTCAAACTGATTGCCTAATTTAAGTCACAATGTAAGCCCCAGATGTCTAGTTTTCTTTTACTCTTTTCCAAGATGCAATTTGAAAGAAAAAGAATAAAGAAGTTTTTTTATTGATAATTCAATTTATTAACAATGTATTAGTTTTTGTACAACATATTACATCTCATACATAGTATAGCAAATGTTTTCCATCTTATATGTAAATCTCTACATTACCTATATTAAGCAATGTAATACATTTGTTGCATAGCATACACCATAAAGTGTCTGCATTTAACTTTCCCATAGATAGGTTGTCATGTCTTCCCTTAGCTGTGAACCCAAGACCAGAGCCTATTTGCACTAGGACTATTTACACTATTTACAATAATAGCTAAAAGTGAGTCCTAATCAAAAATAAGTAAAAGCAAAATTACATTACATGGATTTAAAAAGGTAACAAATGTATTTATTAAAATGCATTGGCATTCTGTGTACTGGTCCAGCCTTGGTGTATAGGCAAACTATTTCTTACCTATGTTCCCTGTAAGCCTGAATCAGACCACATCCATTTTGGAAAACATTTTTGATTATTGAAAATATGATTAGAGGCTATATTGTAAAGCAGACCCTCATAATCTAGTGAACATATTTAAGGCATAGCTAAACTCTCATAGGAAAATGCTTTGTAGAGCACTGTAAGTAAAACAGGATTGCGATATGTATACATACAGTTTCCTCTTACTTTTATTTTAATAAAGCAGTGCTTTATTTAAAAAAAAACACAGTCACAACAATACAAATAACATTTTATAATTCTTGCAGAAGCATATATCAAAATAGTGGAACACCACAATTCCCCTGTAGAAGTTATTATTGCCCTCTTACTTCTTGAATTTTTTGCTTCCTGTTGTTTGCACATCCTGTAGACCATTTCTATAAGCTTCCTGTGGGTGTTTCCACATTCTATTGGTAAATGCATGGCACAGTTTTACTAGGAGACTAGAGGAACACACAGGAAAGAGCAACAAAACTACAATTGAACTAAGGGTAAGTGTAGTCCTCCAAAAAAGTAAGATTGTGTAGTTACCCCTTGCTGGTAGAATCAACAGTTGTTGTTATTATTAACCACTTTGGGACCAGAGAAATTTCTTAATTTTTTACACACGTGTTAAATACACTAGTGTACAGAAGTGTACAGAAATACACTGAAATTCATTTTAGAGCACACAGACAGAAATGAAAAGCCATTTTTTTGCTGAAATATAAACTATGCATTTGTGCCAGATAAATAGATATCAAACATGTCATTCCTTGAAATTGCACGCACCTGTGGAATGGCAAAAAAGTACAGTATCCAAAATTGCCCATAGCATATGCTTTAAAATCCTTGACTGCTCATTGATTTAGAGGTAACGGCGATGACCCTAGAATTATTTGTGCCGATATGTAATATATGTGGCACAATTGGCATTTTCCCACATAGGTACACCGGATGCATTTTTGCATTTGTATTTATG